AGCCCGACCGGCCGCCATCTTGTTATTGCATGGACAGTAGAGTTAGAAAGATGGCGGCCTCCATACATGCCATACATTGCGAAAAATCGAGAAGTGTTGGGTGCATTGTCTGCCACACCACTACGACTTCTGGGGGTAATGACTGAATTAAATTCTTCAGTACTTTCCCTTCAAAGTTTGATTTTATTGGATTTTTTATCTGTGAAGGAGTACTTTACTGTAGCCTGTACTTAAAGCTTCTTTTGCCGCACTCTCTGTGTGTTGTGTGTATGGTGACTTTACTAAGTATGTATATTCATGGCTTTTGTCATGTTTGTTGTCTTATGCCAGTAACTTTATCACAACCATGACAACTTAACTCATCGGTTTTTGACAAAAATCAAAAGCCCTGCCTACTGTGATTGTAATCAGATTCATGAGTTTCACTTTACAGTATGTGTTGTACATCATACATGTACATTTGCAGTACAGGTATGAATCTTGTGAAAGATGTATAGTATGTACATGCATGTAAAGTAATAAAGCATTCATCTGCAAACATTGAGCTCCTACAATGTACGCTGTAAGTTCCTGTATGTATGTACGTACTTGTGAATGTTGAGACAGTGCTGTTTATCTTAGAACTCAGTTGGTGACAATGGAACACTCTTTGTGTAAATATGTAGAACTCACTCTAGCTCTTCTTGGAAGTCATGGATAAGTGTACATGCAATTGATTTGAGTCTCAAATTAATATTGCCGTTGAAATGCTTCTGACTTCATCTTTAATTGTGAAGCAGTCCCTCTCTGGCAGATTTTGGCATTGGATAGCTAAACAATTCATTGCAACTTACACTTAACAGTGCATTTTTGTGGAAATGCGGTTCTCTTTATCTCACAAGGACGAGAATGTAAAGAATAGGCCTACATGTACGTGTACTGTACTGAATGTCAGTTTGATGCACCTTTCTGACTGCTAAAACCTGGATCCAGAAATTTTTATGCAGTGTGTAAGATTTCAAAACAGACAGGATCAAAGAAGAAAAAAGATGTCTGCTAAAGCCACACTTCATGAAAATTGGCGATGTCTGCAAATTGAACAATTCTGCAATTCTGTGTTTCTTTTCATGCCAGTTTTGCAGCGGAGTCAATTTCAACCTGCTGCCATGGAACTGTTTGAGTTAGTAACCATTCTAGCCTCCATGGACTCTTGCAAGGAGTGGCTGCGATCCAAGGGCCTGCTGGCCACTCCTGGAGACCGACTGGGATGCGCCCAGTGCAGCGCCTGCATCACCAACGAGCACCAACGAGAGCAAGCTGCGGTGCAAGGGCTGCAGGAGGGAGCGCTCCATTCTCATTGGCAGCGTGTTTGCCCAGAGCAACTTAAACCTGCACGTCCTCATCTCCCTGCTGTTCTTTTTCTGCAGCCGTGCCCCTATCCACTTCTTGAAGACCATCCTGAGCCACTCTATCTCCACATGGTCCATCATCAACTAGTTCACCTTCTACGACGAGATCTGCTTCGGGTGGCTTTTGGCATATCCAGTCTGGCTCGGTGGACCGGAGCTCATCATGGAAATCGACGTGTCTAAGCAGAAGGGGAAATGCAAGTTCAAAGATGGGGGTGGCAGTTCGCCAGCCCAGTGGTTATTTGGGACCTGGGACCGATGTCTCTCAAAGGGTGTGGTGTGGTGCATCGCCGACAAAAAGCGAGAAACACTCCTACCTCTGATCAAGGACCACGTCCTGCCGGGGACCATCATCTTCTCGGACGGGGCGCCGAGGTTCAAAACCCTTCGGGAGGAGGGCTTCCACCATGATGCGGTCCAGGATCGCAAGTTTGTCACCTAGAACGACTATGGAGTGGATGTTCACATCAACAGTATCAGAGGGTGGTTATCCAACATCAAGGTTGAACTAAGGAGGATGAGGGGTTACCATGGCAGGAAATCTCCCCCGGCTTCTCGACGAAATGATGTACCGCCAACATCGAGGCAATGGTGACACAATGGACCTTCCGATTGAGGACATTAACAGTTGCTACCCTGTTGTGACTGAAGTCTAGTGAACATGCTTGACAGAGCAAGATTTTCTGTTTTCCTGTTTGCAAGTTAAAACATCCGTTATCATTTAAGAAAACAAGGTACCATGTCTCAACACCTACTGTACATGTACAATATACACATACATGTACATGTAGGTCTTCATGTGCACATACGAAACGCACATGTATCAGGTACACATGGGTAATTCCAGAAATTACAGGTCCAAAAGTGTGACATTTTTGTGTCCCTTTTACATCTGACCTTTGTTATTTGACATGGAATTATCACCAGAATTGATTTCAAGCTATTACTATTTGTTTGGCAGGCAATTTGCGTTCATTCATCACTCTTGGAAATTAGAAAATATGTTTTGTACTTACAAAATCGTACGTCTTATACAATGTATGTGACAGGGACGCGAAAAAAAATGGACCCCTCATTTCTGGAATTGCCCACATGTACAATGGACATAATGGTGCTGTATACAGTACATGTATTTGCATAATAGAGCAAGATTTTTGGAATGTTTCATTTCCCCCCCCCCAAAAAAAAAGCAACAGTATTTTACATGTTAATAAAAAGAGAATACTATACTTGTTCTGTTTTTCGGGCCATTCGGGGCAGTGGGGGAAATTGCTCAAGTTTGTCAGGGCTTCGTTTGGCCTTTTTTAGGGGAGGGGTAGTTGTGCTTTGGAATTGTATTTAGAGGAGTAAAGTACACGTACATGTACCATCTGTGGACTTTGAGTACACTGAACACTGCCTACATGGACATTCTTAGCTCCAACTGCCAAAAGGGGGGGGCAGAAAGTCAATCATTTTACCATTTAAGTTACTGCATCAGAATCAAAGATTGCTTGAAGCCGCAGAAGCACCGGTACATGTTTAACTGCTGAGTGACGAGGACAGCCAACCTGCCTGCCACAGGGGATAACTTACACATCCATAATAGCCTGCGTGGAAATTAGGTTAAGGATGATGGGAAAAAAATGCAGGATTTTTAATCAACCCTGGCTTCGGGATGAAACGAACTAAATGCCAACATCTTGATGATGGTTGCTTGAAGGATGATATGACAGTATATATTTGCTTGAGATGAAACAGGATGCTCTCCAGAGAGCCAAATCTTGTCTACATGTACCTACTGGTGTGCATGTATATGTGTATTATGTTTCACTGTTTACGAATAAAGTGTTCCGGTTATTGTTAAAAAAAAATAAGTGTTTTTTGTGTGTTACTAGCAGATACCGGTAGGTTAAGATTGAGATATGTGTACGTACATTTGCGTGATGGAAGAATAACTCCAGTTAAGTATGATTTTTTTTGGGGGGGGTTGGAAGAGTCATGGAAGACAGCCTCTGAAACCAGTGTGGGTAATGGGCTGTGAGTGCAGTGAACACTATACTTATGGCTCCAACTGCACAAAACAGAAAAAAAGGGTATGGAAACTACATTTCTTGCCAAAATGTCACTGTACATTCCAAAAACCAAGATATCATAATCGAGCAGGATTGTTTGATATTTGCAAGCATGTGATTTGGAGCAACAAAAACCACTTTAAACATATTGAAAAGGTGTGCCTTTGATTATGGTGTGAGCTTGTGAATTTTTGTTTGCAACATCTTGCCTAATGATGTACATGTACATGTACCTGTACCATACTTACGCGAAAGTGAACTTATACAAATTGGTGATGTCAGACCAAAATATTCGTTATGAAAATTCATAAAAGTTGAACACGTCTCGCCTTAAGCAAAAGTTTGCTGCAAATCTTCTCCGACATCAGATTTACTTCACTTTCACATTTGCCTGTAGTATGTATGAGTACTGTATTCAGTGGGAGAGGAAGGAGGGGGGGGGAAATGGCAGAAAACATGTTTTTGAAGTCAGTGCACCTGCCTTTGAGAAATTATACCACCACCATCCTTCATGTCCATCAGGCTTATTTATGCAAAAGTGCGTAATATCTGAAAGTGAAATCCCACTTTGTCCCCCACCCGTGGATCTGCGTGTGTGCCGGCACTGTACTGTATGTCACTGCTTAGTAAACTGTACAGTCAGTGACAGTGCTGGTGAGAAGTGGATTGGAAAAGTTAAAGATTAAATTGGTGCACATGCACACACATTGTACAAGGGTGTAGGCTGGGGAGGGGGCTGTGGGTGATGCAGAGGCACCTCCCTGCCAGCAGAAGGAAGTTCCACATGAGGTTTTCATATTTTTATTGTTTAACACCTAACAGCAGTGCGTTAGTTTATTATGGTGAAAGTACATGGGTTTTTGATACGCGATGACGAAACAGTGAAATACATGTAGTACATGTATGTAAATACATGTACACATATCTGGGGCAATCTGCTTTCCACGCGTGCACTTGCCTTCCTCGTTTAAATGCTGGAAGTTTGGAGTTCCGCTTTCTTGAAAATCACAACCCCCCCGGCCAAACCAGCCTACGCCCCTGTTGTACATGAATGCAATATTCTGTCCAACATTCAGGTTGCGAAAACTGCAAGCATTCGGTCGTTACTCCATGAGAAACTGGAAGAGCTTGCCACTGCAGAAGAGCAAGAACTAAGTGACAGCCAGCTCAGCGGAACTGGAAGCAATGTGGCGTGGGATACCTCACAGGAATCCCCTCACCATGAAGCAAACGGACTGAATGAACAGATTGTGGACCATGAACACTCGGACAGTTTGGACGACATGAAGCGAACCTATCCTGATGAGGTGCTGGAGAAGTCAATTGTATTCAGCGCTGAAGGAGATGCCGGATCAGGGAAGAGCGAAGCGGGGAACGGCGAGAGTGCAACAGACGAGAACTCGCCGCCGAAGGTTCCGAGGCGAGATGAGAGGTCTGATGAGGGAGTAGAGCTGCGCAAAGCATCGACATCAACTCAAGAAAAAGCTTCATCATCAAAAGGTGAGAATTGACCCTTTTACCTTATGCTACGTTCTCGAGAGTGCTGTATGCACCCGTTAAAAAGGCCACATTAGGCTGTGCACTACAAATTGTCAGTGTGGGGCTCTGAAGGGCCAGACGAAACACGCCTGGAATGCAGTGAAGGAAGGGGCAGAGGGTGGAACAGCTTTCCCTTAAAATTACTACATGGGGTGTGTGAAAGGTTTTGAGAGGTAGAGATTGTCCCACGGAGAATGGATTAAATTGATTTATGCTACCTGTGTGACCCCCATCAGCAAATGTTGGGCAGTGAAATCCAAAGGGTTTCAGAGGTAAGACATGCAAATAGAAGTGTTTAGAAAAGGAAGCTTCAGAAATGGATTTTTATTCAAATACAGTTGGACTAACTGCATTTGAAAATTCATTTAGCTTATCATTTAAGGTTATGCAGATACTGTTGTCTATTTTAATAGCAGATAAAATTTCCAGTAAATTTCCAGGTTTGAAAGAGCGCACCATGTTTATTCAATGTCTACTTCTAAAGTTGTCCAGGCTCTAGCCAGGATGTACAAAAGTTCTGTCTTGAACATTCTCACCATCAGTAAGAGTTGTACATGTAGGTCTGCACGTCATTTTCCCTTCTACAGTGTAGCCATTGCAGACTTGAATGTTGCACTTTATCCTCCAAAAGGGTTGCACAATCCATCCTTAGTAAGGGTTGCACGCTTGAACATACATGTAAATGCACACGTGTGTCTTCCCATGTAAGAGTTCCCGGTTTAAATGTTACTTTCTATGCTGTGCATTTACATATACATACATGTACAGTTGCAGGTTTGAACGTTGCATTCCATTTTTTTCTAGTTGTTACAGGCTTGAACGTTGCATTCTATTCAGTGTAAGAGTTGCAGGTTTAATTGTTGCATTTCATACAGGGAAAAGTAAAGGGAAGAGACGGACCACAGACAGTGAAGAGGGGGAATCCTGGGCCAAAGTCAAGTTTACTGTACAGGACCTAGAGGGCCACAATGATATCATCTGTGCAGTCTCCTGTGATGGATCAAGACTGCTCACTGGCAGGTACGAATAAAAGAGTAAGTTCTGTGCACAACTGTGTACGCCAGTGAGAGGTGTTGTCCAAAGTGCCCATGGTAATATTTGAAGCCCACACGCTTGAAGCAACTCTGTGCATTTGAGTACTTTGGTGATTCATTTGTAGCCGTGACACCATGGTCAAGTACTGGGACTTGGACAAGGGCACGGAGCTGAGGAGTATGGGTGGCCACTCTGGAACCATCACGTCTGTCATTTTGCTTCCTGCAGACGAAAGCTCTGACTTGGGTGAGTGAAAACGCAGCTCGCACAGTAACTGACCTGAATGACTTGGCAGTTAAACCCTGTCAACGATCAATGTGGGGAATACCAGTGGTTGACTTTATCCCAGTTGCTGAACCGTGATCTCAGCTGCAGGGCTGCAGTCCCAGTTACTCATCCATGATTTATACTGCTAGGCTGCGATCCCAGCTGCTCACCCATGATCCCAGCTACTTTCTTAGAATCCTAGAAGTTTGCAGCTATGATTACAATGAGTGGCACACTACATTTGCCTTCATGCATTTCTAATTGGAGAGTCAAATCCGAAGTTTAACATTTTGGTGGCTGGCTGAAATGGACAGTCGTGAATCCACCAAAATGTTAAACAGCTTGTGGAGGGATTTAAATAGAGGTAAAACTACACATAAAATGGGTATAGGAGCAGATGGGAAGGCACAAGCAAGAAAAGTATCCACATGCACAGGCCGTAAGCAAATCCATTTCAAAGTAGTTGAAGTGCTGAAATTTGCATGGAGACGTTAGAAAGCCAGAGACCTCGATCAGTTCACAGAGACAGTGCAGGGAGTCATCCTATTACCCTTTTGTCTTTGCATGTCCAATTGAACTGCATTTTCCCGTAGAGGAGTTTTGTTTGTGGAAAAAATTTGTGACAATCACTACAGATTTCCCCTCCATGTTTTGTCTACCAAGGAGTGAAGTTCCACATGGAAACTCCTGGATTGGAAAAGTGTTCTGTAATCAGGAAAATAAGTCTCCGACCTGTAAATTCAAGCCCTCTGTGAACCGGATTCTCCATTTAACCCTAACCCGACCAGACGCAGCATAGTGCTTCAGGTCAAAAGGTCTGATGGACTGGGCAATTAATAGCAGCTGAACAAACTGGCCATGTTGAGACAATGGGAGCTAGTCCCATTGAACAGTGCCACTATTGGATCTTGTGGTGACTGGCAGCCGCAGACTTCCAGGCTGTTTGGCCTTGGGGAGAGTTGACCTGTTGGATCTTACACCATTGTACACTGGGCAGGCAAGCCAATTTGACAAGTGATGCAGTTTGATGTGTCTGGCAGGGTTTCTAGTCAAAGTAGGCTAGGGGTAATAAGGAATGATTCCACAGATTACCATCCCTACCTCTGAGACTGATCATCTACATATATCATGTCTATGTGCATTTTCAGAATTCTTGAAACATTTTTACCTCTGTATTGTGATGATGCCCAGATTTTTATATTTCTGTCTTCATCACTTCTTTTTTCTCAGCTTCTTGCTACGATCTGCCTGTCAGTGACCGCATCGGGGTGACCGGATCAAAGGATTGTTACATCAAGGTGTGGTCCCTGGAAACCGGCCGAGCAGTGCATTCCGTCTACACCTACAACCCTGTGGAGTGCCTGGGGTACATTCCAGACAGAGCTCTCATCATATCTGGCTCAGGTATTGCAACCTCATTTCAGCATACAGAACATGAACTTACAGTTCATTTATGCTGGAAGGAACTTAACTGTTTATGGCATTTGTTGAGGGAACTTGTTTGCCTGTTTTATGTAACGATTTAGGAACTTACATTTATCTGAACTTACAGTTCATTTATGCTGGAAGGAACTTAACTGTTTATGGCATTTGTTGAGGGAACTTGTTTGCCTGTTTTATGTAACGATTTAGGGGCTTACATTTATCTGTTTGCCAATTTTTGCAACAGTCTTGCAGAATTTAAAGAACTTGTTTTCCAAAGCTTTGAAACTACATGTAGATGCAGTCTTGTACAACATTTGAAACTTGTTTGTGAAAGCAACAGTCTTGTGCAGTATTATGGACTGCATTTTAAGCTATGAGCCCCGAGCAGGACCAGAGAGGGCACAATTTTCCTTGCAGTGAAGACTCTCTTTGTTGGAACTGCACTTTGCTGGCTATGAAATGTTACAACTAAATAGTTGTGGCAAGTGACTTTTGTGTAGGATTGGAGGTAAGATTTTTTAATCCAAAGCCTCTTGTTGTATTAACCCCTTCACGGCGGGACGTGGCTAGAAACGCCGTAGAAATTGAGATCCTCAGCCCGCTTTTCAGCTGTTATTCTCGGTCCACGCTTGAGCGAACAATGGTAATTGGCCTTTGTGTGTAGCCTAGAAATGAAAAGACTGAATTTGCATCATAATCACCAGCTTCACAATAGTCCCCACTTTGAAAAGAGGCAACAGGAATGTGGAAGCGTGAGTAGAGCCGCATGCCACCAAACAATCAGCCTTTTCACTATGTAATTCAAAGCATGCAGAGCATGCAGGGCCACAAACCAAGAATTTGAGTTTTGGCAGGTGGCCTTCGTGGCCAAGGAGGCTGGAATTCTTGGAGTCAGCTTTCGGAAAGAAATTCAAAGGATTAAGAAACCAACTTTAAATGTGTTTACCCTCAGATGGAGGTAAGGTTGAACTCTGGGATATCAGGACCGGAAGTAGCGTATTCTCCACCATTGGACATGAAGATTCTGTTACATGTATTCACGTGAGTCTCAGTGTGAATCTTCAAAATCTGTGCAGTATCTCGATGTACTCTTTCAGTGATAAACACAGCAGAACTTATTCTGAAAAATGGACAACTTCGGAAAAAGCATTAACTCTCCCATTTCTCGCAATGAGTCGTTGGGAGGGGATGAACCAGACACTACATGTACGAATTTCATTCATTTCGTTGGTCAGGCCATATTACTGTGGCGCACATGGGAAAAACCAAAATACCAGAATGTAAAAAGTGATGCATTTTCTGTGATCTTAAAAAAAAACCAAAACCAGCCAGTTGTTCCTATCACAAATTGGCAAACGGTGCTGTTAAGAATCGTCCTGTCTCTAAGATTGAAAAGATACGTCACTACTGTCAAATTTAGAAGGCTGTCTATTTATACCGCAGTTCCATTTGATATTACTAATAGACAAGACAATGAAAAGTATCGTGTTTGCACTGACTGGCAGTGTGTTTTCTAAGCTCTAAAAGTAGCCCACTTGGCGTGGACTTTTTTTTTTGCAGATCAACAACACTGAAGTTTACACTGCATCCAGCGACGGCATCATCAAACTCTGGCATCTGAGGGACAACTCTCTCCACCCCACTTTTGTCTCGGAAAACATCTCCAGTACTTCCTCCAGCCACCTACTGGCCCGACGCCACATCCGGTCACTGGCTGTCCATGGTGACATCATCTACTACGGAGACGACGGGCTGAACGTCAAGGCGCTGGACTGGAAGAAAGGTACATATGCAGTGGAGAAATTGGGTAGAGATGTTTTGCGCTGGCACCCTGCAGCATTGAGAGTTGCGTGGTTCTGGAAAAGAACTGGTTTACGTGACATTTTGAACAGTGTATAGTGTTGACCTTCAAGTTCTTCTTAGAACTGTCTAAAACTTCTCATGCACATGAAGACACCAGTTACGGGTACTCCTGTGAAGTGTCAGTTTTATTGAAGCAAAAGTTCTTGACACTGCCCACCTTCAGCAGAAGCACCCCCTCACCAGTTGAATAGAGCCATGTTTGTGGCAAGTGTTCAGTTTGTTGGTAGCGATGGGAATGCAGCACTTGCATTTCATAGTCGTTTGTGAACCAGCAATGTGCAGTTCCCACCAAGGGAACCTCCATTGCTAGGACAAATTGTCCCCTCTCTTAGTCCAGTTCAGGGTCCATAGAATACACTTTACCCTTTCACACTTGGTTGTCCTATGCATTAAGCGGTGTTATTAATTAGAAAAGTTGATCACATATTTTAATGAACTTAGATAAAAAAACAGAAAGCTTAAACAAATCACATGCTGCTTTCATTTCTCATCTATTTGTTTGTGGCCTGTGTTAGCCTTAGTTCACAAGCTCAAGAACCACACTGGGGACTTTGGAAGCACAGACGCCATGTGCTCAACCCAGGATTTATTGGTCTGCGCAGGGTATGATCTGGACAACGGCTGTGGTTACCTCAATTGTAAGATTGTATTGGCATGCGAAGAATATCCCATTCAGTTTTAATCTTGAACTATGCACACTTTTATCTTAAAATTTCACTTTCAAACTTTACTTTCTTTTTAAACAATGTGTAGCCTTTTTTTGGAGGGGGGTGTCATCCACCATGTGTCATATTTCCTGACTGCAAGCCAGGAAAATTCATTCTATTAGAAATGATATTTTTTCTTCTCAAACTTCTGGAAATGTTTTGTCATTTAAATATTTGACAATCATTTTCAGCATTTCATTTTTTTTTTCTGAACATAAGTCTGGCATCTTCCGGAAGAGGTCTACCTTGCAACTCTGAATGACAGGGACATCAGTCGTGTTGTTGCCATAGGCCAGACGCAGACAAAAGAGGGTGCTCTGCGCCTCATCACTGGAGGACAAGAGCTGAGAGTGTGGGACAGAATCCCCAGAAAGCGATACAGGTGCAATTGATAGAAAGGACTATAAGATTTCACTGGCCAAAAAGAAGAAATTTGAAAAGTATGTTGTTATGGATTTGAGACGAAAACCTTGCATGTTTGCAGTGTTCATAATTTTATGTCTAGCGGTCTTGCCTACAGACTTCATTCACAGGGAAGCCATTTTTGATCTTATTCACTGTATCTGTTTGATGGATTGTTAACTGTTGATTAGGATGATACCGAAGTATTTTATGATTGGCATGCATCTGGGCCTCCCTTTGAATATTTTTGCAAATTTGGTTTAAAACAGGTATGCTTAACCACTTGCTGCCGGGGGCAGTTATCAATGTTGCTGATACTGGTCCGGGATAATTTTTTTCTTTTTTCAAAATAATTTTAAAATTCCTATCTTCATTTACTAGACACTTAAAAACATGTGAAGGACTGTCTGGTGTCCACTCTAGCCTGACAGACAAAATCTATTGATGCCTGAGTATATCAGCCAGGCCTGCAGCCTTGTAAAAAGAGCCCAGATTGTGCGGTGTTATATAAGTTTCATTTGTTCACGAACCTGGCTCAGTGCGCTGCTGACCTCTTTTCAATAGGGGCCAGATTAGCATGCAGCAGTGCGGTGTGGCCCCGGAGACCCCGGCCACACATATAAAGCATACCTGTCCGGAATCCTCGGTAGGAAGTGGTTAATCACATTATTTGTTATTACATCAGAGTAGGCAGGTACTAATTTGTCGTGAAATTTCATTGTACATGTATTATTTTCATTTCTACTCTCACCTTTCAATAACCTTAGCAAAACTTTCCCAAATTTTCTCGTAAAACATGTTCTGAAAAGTGAAATCAAGAGGAAAATTAACCTAGACACAAAATATAAGACAGTTTACATGTATGCTTCTGTAATACACTTTACCCCCAAGCTTGAACTTCAGGTGTGTTTTAGGTGCCTGATAAATTTGTGGAAGTTGAACATACAAGATGTTTTAGGTATGTTTTTAACCACGCTACCTCAGCATAATAACGTTTTATCAGACAAGGCCTGCATCTTAATCTGGAAATCTGAGTGGACAAGGCCAACATTTTAATCTGGAAATTTGAACAGACAAGGCCTACATTTTAATCTGGAAATTTGAATAGACAAGGCCAACATTTTAATCTTGATATTTGAATAGACAAGGCCAACATTTTAATCTGGAAATTTGAGAAGACAAGGCCAACATCTTAACCTGGAAATATGAAAAGACAAGGCCAACATTTTAATCTGGAAATTTGGGAAGACAAGGCCAACATCATGTGTGAGTGTGTAGGGTATTAAATTATTTTTAGTTTCATTAAATTTGTTTACATTTTCAATTTCTTTCATCAGTCCTCAAGATGCAGTTCCAGCTGAGTTCAACTACTCGTTCTCGGTCAAGGCTCAAGATTCCGACCTGGACTCAGACACCACGGATGCGAGTGACAGCGAACGGGGTGGGGCCAACCAGAGGCGTGGGCGGCGATGGTCAGAGGGGAGTGCGGGCTCAGCCAAACAGTCCTGGTGGTCATGGTGCACGCTGGTCTAGAGACACCCATGCCATCATCCGAGGTACTAAGGGGGGTGGGGCTAGAGGAGAGAGGGGGCAGGCGACCTTGGTAGGTGTGAACTTCTTTCACTACCTACAGCTCGTATTTTATACTTCATGTTGTATTTCGATTGCTGGGATTTGTGAAGTGAATTTAAAAGTTTGCAATACTGATTTAGGAATCATGAATATGAGTGTACAGTTATCAACAGTGACTTTTTATTGGACAAAATGTCCTGTCTTCCAAACCATTGAGCGTACTCAGCATTGGATGATGCTTTCTAAATGTATTGTACACTAACCAGTCAAACACTTGTTAGTTGCACTTTTTTTATCAAAAATGAGTACTGTCTTGTGTGATTAGTAGACACAGTTTGGTAGATTACATGTATTTAAAAAACTTCTTTATCTTGATTCTCGTCTCCAGAAACATTTAAACCCATGTCAGCTTCTTGTAGGTCTAGAGTTCAACTATTTTTGTGGTTTTGTCATTTTCATAATAGGTGTACATGAACTGGTCAGTCTGGTCCCGAGCCCTGGAAAGCTAAACTTAAGACACAGTAATACAGCATGGCTCTTTGTAGATAGGTTCTGCATTGGGACAGTGTATTGCAGGTAGTTATTTTATAAAATGTCGAATCTGATGCGTCTTGTTTTCACTCTATTTTTGACATTTTCCTTTTTTTTCTCGCACCTATCCATGTTTTACGGTGTAAATACAACTTTCAGGCTTGTGTTTCTCAGCAATCCTGATTTGTGAATTTGGATTGTAATCCATTACATTGGTTCTTTTTGAAAGAAGTAACAAACACTAGTCCGAGCAATCTATTTCTGTTTCAAACTTTTATTGTTTCCCAGAGATGCCAAAACAACAGAGTAAGGATCGAGTACTCCTGTCTATGAAATATAATCTATCTATGCCTTTTTTTACAGAATGAAAAATATCACAAACATAAATTACATAATAGTATGAAGTGCTTTGTTGTTGCTTGCCAACATTCAATTATTTCTGTCATTTTTTGAAAAGTGTGGTGTAATTTGTCTATTCGATCAGGTGACAAATCAAGTGATCTGTCTGGATGATCACACCTTTGGCATGAGATCCAATGTGTCCATGCTACAAGTTTGTAGCCAAAAAAGGTTTAAATGCATTGAAATGTTTGAATTGAGAATCCTTGGATTTTTATAAAAAAAGAAACGAAAAAATGACCACACACATATGATGGTGTTAGAACTGTTTTCATTCCATAAGCCCTGACGCTTGCTGTGAACCCTTCATGTACAGATGTACAATGCTTTCCTGTGGTTGTGTCTACAGGATTCATTTCAAAAATGAAAAGGAAACGTGAGCAATGACAAAGTGGATCAAACCACTGAAAGTCGGTTGCCACATTCGTCCTGTCATTCAGTTACATCAGTGCGTTATTCAACCAAATACTATGGTCTATTTCAATTATACACATATTTCTCTTGTGCACAAGAGGTTGCCGACAATATTTTTTTTTTTTACAGAAGCAAAACCTATGTGGTAGACTGCCACTTCATTGTTTGAAAACCGCGTGGTGCACATACAATGAGGTAAAAATTGTGTTGTGAACACAGGAAATATGAAGTGACTGGATCGTGATGTGCAATGCCCGCTGTGCCCGCTCCAATTTTTCACGACATAGATTAAAGGCCGGTTCATACTTTGGGGCGAAAGCAAACACAAATTTTTGTGACGTCAGATCATGTATTCATGCACATTTGCAAAAAGTGTTGAACACTTTTCAACTCGAGTGATTTTCACAGCAAATGTTTGGTGATGTCACATTCTCTTTGCTTCAGCATTCGCCTGAAATATGAACCAGCCGTAACAACACATACTGCAGGCTTATTTTACAGTTATATAAATTTAAGAAGCAAATTGAGTATCAGTTGGACTTTGTCCACAGCTTTCCACTTCCTCTCAACCTGTAGAGAAAGAAAATCCAAGAAATTGAAGTAATTCTATCATTCAAACCAAAGTATCATTTATACAGCGTAAAATTTTCCAGCTTTCTTCTACCACACACATCAACATTGCGAAATTCAGTTTGCGGAGCAAAGTTTTGATATTTACCCAGGGCTCCAGGTGTTGGTCTTGGCTGCTAAATGGAAATAACTTCCAAGTTTTGTTACAATTCTGCAACCGTTGCAGTTCCCCCCCCCCCATTTTTTTCCAGCACTGCCTCAAATTTATTTAGCTCAAAAATATGTACAACAGCATGCCAAATAATGCAAAATGTGCATGCTTGCCTATGTATGGCCGTTACGTAGAATTGCCAGCCGGTACCCCTGTAGACCTTTTTGTTCTGAAAACGTGCATATTTTCTGTCAAATTTTGGATGTATTTTTGTTGCCGGGTGGTTTTGACATATATAGGGGAGTCAATGGGGCAGGAGTCAAAGAATTAGGAAGTGGTTAAGTGCTGAGACCCTGGGCAAGTCACTTTTTACCCCTATAGGTACATGTACGTTCCCCTCTCTCCACCCAGGAGTCAAAGAGCCCCTATGAGGGTAGATACATGTATATGTATCTTGCTTATGGTCCCAATTCTGTGCTCATTGTTTTCATTCCTAATAATACCTGTACTAGGTTCCTTTTATAACAAGGTTATCTGCAAAGTGTAGAGGACCTAATGAGAATCGACTGTATTATTGTGACAGATGCAATGTTCCATTCTGAAATAATGCTTAGCAGCATAGGTGAACCTCAACTATTCGTACCCTGCCAGGCAGTAACTCACCCCTTTATCTTGGAGGTCTTCTTGACTGGTTTGGTCGCTTGCACCTCCATCTCTCTGGTGTCAGCGGCCATGTGTTGGTCCTCTACGTCTTGTGTTGTTGATGACGAGGATGCCTTGATGGCCTTCTTGATACTGGCAACCTGCCAACAAAGGTCACATGTTAGAGGTCACCCATTTCAATCGTTCACAATCCTCTCACGTGCCTACTGGTTGTGTAGAAAAGTGACATTTATGTGTCAAACTATGACTGCACTCTCCGAGATGAAAAATGTCACAGTTCTTTTTTCCTTCAACAAATTTTAAACTATTATGATAATGCACTGATCATGTTGTACGCTTTCTTTCTATCAGCTCCGTTTTTAATGAAGAATCGCCATTTCATCTTCAAGAAATGTTGGATCAATTGTAAGATGATACAACAGAGCCTTGGTGGGGTGCCAGGCAGTACAACCCTTGATTTGGGCTCAAAGCACTGTACTCAATGGCAAAGTGCAAACCAGAGCCAATATTGAGCAACTGAAGGCTGTACTGCCAAGTTCACATTTGTATATACAGAGTATACCTGGTGAACAGCATCAGCTAATGGCATGAACGACCAGGGTGCCCTTCACAGGCTGACATTAATGTTTTGTCTACTCGGCTGACACGTTTGCTTTGGCCAACTCTGCACAAATCCACTATCTCTACAAACCCACCTCCTGCTCGATCTGTTGTTTCGTCTTGACGCAGTGCTCCCTGTGCTTGTTGGCCCGCAAGATCTGATCCTCGATGTTACTCAGCACCGCCTCGCAGCCGTCACACCTGGAATGCAACACTGAGCGCTATAAACAAAACTCTAAATGACTCAGAAATTACGAAATCACACTTCCAGCTGCCACTGACCTGGAAGGCAATTGGCCGAATTGCGAGTTTCTTTGGGAAGGCAAACAAGGGGTCTTTGATCTGTCACCAGTTTTATAATCTAAAAGATGTGTTTGTTCTTTGCTAGGTGTATATCTTTCCTTCCTTTTCTTATAGTCTTCTTCCCTGTAGAACGCTTTCCTCTGCCATTCCTGGGGACTGAGCACCCACCATTCCTGTAAGACGTTGACTATTTCCGCCACCACCTCTGGCTTTGTGTCTCTGCCGATGGCATAGTCTATCTCTAGCTCCTGATTCTTCTGATCCAGCTTGCCACGAATCACATCTGCATATATGGTCTCAATGATTAAGTCCTGAACAAAATTGGGGGAAAAAAGATAAAGATAATGTATCGCAGTTCCTGTTGTGAAAACATCTGAAGAAAGAAATTGACAGAGTATAAAACATTCGTTTACTTTTTACTTCAAGAGCGAATTTCTGCAAAACATCAGTTGAGAAAATACGGCTTTTGAAACAAGGCTTTGCTCAGAGAGAGGTTTTGGGATTAGATATCGGTGCCTGGAGACGGGTTTGTGGTAGGTTTGTTTGGAAGCTTGAAAATGAGGCGGCCCAGATTTGCAGTGTGAACTATCAATTTATGCGGCACATGCTGTGTACTTCAACACATTACGCAGTGTTGTAGTGAAGCCCATCTCAAGGCCAGCGGTCCATCTTCTTGTACTTTCCACTGGACTCTGATCCTCCCATACCTCGAGCTCTCTCACGTTCTTCATGTCCAACTCCTTCAGCAGCACCGGGTAGGGGATGTGCTTAGACTTGGCTGCCAGCGTCACCACTGTCAGGTGTCGCAACTTGTTGAGGGCCACAGGGGACAGCTGAGGAAACCGGTTGGAATTCTCTGTGGGGCAAAAAGACAGGAGAAAAATAAATGGGGGAGGGGGTAATTGTGTTTACTTGCAGCCATGAGACTGAATTGAGGACGCAGCTACAAAGTGGACGAGGCGAAGCATGTAGAGGCATCTTTGGGCAGCTGCCAGACGACCCATATTTGACCATGGAGCACAATCACAGATGTTGTTTTATGTGAACTTTTGTGGAGCGAGGAAAACCGGAGAACCTGGAGAAAAATTCTCCTGGCACAGGAGGGAAGCAACATATGTGTACATGTACAAGTATGGCCCCGGCTGGGAGTTAACCCCAGGCCCATAGAGCTTGCAGGCGAGCGCTTCACATACAAGCCTTCCATGCCGCCCAATTGATTGAATGGAGTTGAGAAGTAGTATGAGTTATCTCAAAGTGACCACTTGGACCTTAACCAATGACCTCAAACATGTTGATGATTTGTAATGACCAAGTAATGGGCATTTTTTATGAACACAGATTTTGCTTCAGTGTTTCAAAGTTAGACTCCTCAACAGCCTTTATTTTATACTGTCTGAAACCTTACCCTTGTATTCTTGATATGTTCCATATGCAAAGAGGTTTAATGCAGCGAGGTAAGATGAATTTGGGCCATTTGCCAGCTGAAAATAAAAGAAATAGTTAACTTTGTTATTGTTAGGAACTTGAACAAAAGACCCACCAAAGATACACAGAGTTTGGGAAGAGACAGACTATACATCCTGTCTTTTTGGAGTACTGGCTATGTATTAATTTGCTCCAAGGAAAGTCATTACTTTGGCAATGACGTGTATATTCAGCGAGGTCTACCTTGACCAGGAAAATTTGCATTTCCACCCTGGTCCAAGGTAGGCAGGTTTGAGGCAGGAACTCTCAATCAATAAAAGTTGCAATCAAAATCTGGAAGTCCAAGACCATGACCAAGGGTCAAACCAACAATCTCGAGATCAGTCCCAAGACCGGAACCCAGCTCTGTGATCTACATGTACGACGCTGCAATGACACTATGGTATCAGAGTCTCTATTTCAATTTTTACCTTCAGGGCAATCATTTTTTCGTACCTCCTGAACGTTGGGCATCTCCAGCAGCTCGCCAAACACGTACACCCCGGGCGCCTCCAGGACCTGCTTGATGAGGGCCACCACGGCCGCACCCTTAGTGGACTTGGCCAGCAGGAGGTACTGCTCCAGGGGCTGGTGGGTGGAGCCCACCTGGGGCGTAGCCTGGGCGTTGACATCCATGATGGAGCGTGTGGGAGGTTGAAGTGTTTTCATCTACAGTTTCCTACCGAAATGAAGGTCTATTTCACCACCAGATCGTTTTCAGTAATTGAATTCCTGGTACTGCAGAAAACAAAAATCTAAAATTTGAATAACAGAAAGCACAAGGAAACAGGCATGAACAGGAATGTCCCCGGTTTTAAGTACAGTTTGTCAGGTAGACATGATTAAATTTTCTCTCACTTTGCTGGCCGTTTATAATAAGTCAGTCATTGGTGCCTGACAATAAAACCAACTCCTACAATTACTCAACTACATGTACACCGATCCACCTGTGTGACTAAAGATGCTAGTTTCTCCGAGGCTATTGTGTCTACAACAAAATAACACAACAAATACATCATGAGGTCATAAACATGATAAACATAATGAATCTAACAGCTGTTTTCATGTCCTAACACAGTTTACCGCTGAATTTTTGAGAAATTACAGCAACAGCATGGATTGTAAATTAGGCTAAATTGACTTCTATGGCAGCTTCAAAATCTGCAGCACTATTGAAAGTTCCACATCAGTATCAAAGTCAGCCCATAACAAAGTTAACCTTTGTTCATTAAGTCTGTCAAAATGTCAAAATGATAGATTGAAAAAAAAGTCAAGCATAAAATTAGCCATAAGCATGATGAGTTAAAATTCAACAATAAACAATTTTTAAACAGAGACTGGAAAAAATGTTTCATCCTGACTTCACTTTTCTCATCATATATCATCTCAATAAAACTCAGTCATTACAGAAATGCTGGAAAGACACAAATTTTGGACTAAGTAAGAAACATTTACCGATGTTGTTGGGAAATACCTAGAAAATTCTCTTTACTCCCGATAGAGTTTGTACACAACTACTGAAGTGGAGTCAGGATATAGGATGCAACATTTTTTCTCAGTGACTTTTGAATTTAAAAAAAAAAAGTGTCACTGTTGTGATGAAATGAGAAGATGAAATCAACAAACGAAGGTGGAATGAACCAAAGGCCCTAGGCCTACTACTGCTACATGTACTTACTAGAAGAATCAATAATGGTCTAGAGACAAGTGTTCTAAGTAGGGCTAACCCCAGCTAGGCCTTGGGGCCCATTGGTTCTTAACGTTTCAATTTTTTTCACACAAATCTTGACTGCATGAACTGATGTCAATGCTTTATTTGGTCATGTGCATGTCAAACTGTTATCAGTTTAATTAAATTTGGCGATTCGTAGAGTCCAAGTTAGCCTACTCGGACCAGCACTGACGAGCAAGGCATATTAATTTCACGAAATTGATGCAGTATGGGCTTAGGCCTACTCCAGTAAGAATTAACAATGATGGAACAACTTCAGGTGAAATAAAGCACCTCGACTACAAAATAACCATTTCAGTTTCTATATATCTGTCTTTTGAATACAGGAAAGAATTGATATCCATCCCAAACATGCGATACTTACGCCAAAATCTAATATTTTGCCGGTTTGTTGAGTGCAAGGCAGGTTTTAACATGGAACAGCGAAACTTTTCCTACGTGTAACAGCCGTCGGGCGGGCAGTACGGTGACATTACAATTTTATTGGTGGCGTCCTACAAAACGTACTGTTGGTTACACAGTTTAATATAGAAATTTCTCTGGTTAACTGGTTAAAGAGCGCAGAAATAAAAAGATCTGCTCATAGATGAGGGATAAGGTGATGTGGTTTAATCACAGAGCTATATTAAATTACTGGAAAACTATAACTTTTTGTTCCCCGCGCGGAGAAAATTTGTTTTTATATATAGATCTATAGGTTTAATTGCAGAAATGAGCTAGCTCTTGATGCGAAGGCGAATTAAGATAAAATTTCCCCTAACTACTATTTCTGAACTTTGCAGTGTCGTCAAATCTTAGTTGCAAAACCTTTTTGAGGTTTTAAAGGGGGTAAAATGGAATTAATAATTTGTAATCAGGCAAATAGAAACAAGTCGAGGAAAAAATCTGGGAGGATTGAGGTATTCAATAAGTAGTTACATAAGGATGGATCCAGTAACCAAATCTTTTCGGGGAACTGGCTTTGGCGCCCCCCCCCCAAAAAAATTACAATTTTTGTTTATGTAACCTATAACATGGAGGAAGGGTAGCCTTTCTGAGGGGTGACCGAGGCTGCATTTTCTAATGTTTACACTATTTTCAAAGAAGGGAAATAAAAGAGACAAAAATTGTCGGCTTTCTATCATTATTTCAAAAAACAGCTGGGGGGCTGGGCCCCTGTTGCCCCTCAATCTTGCTTTTTTTTTTTTAGAGGTGCGAGTGCAAACGACCCGCCCTATACATTTGCCCAGCTCATAATATCACACAATTGAAGACAGGCCATTCAAAGGTCAGAATTTATTTAGAATTTAATCGCAATAAAATAGATATACATGTAGTACTCACTAGTAGTAGTCTACTGCTACAAACTCAGAATTTCACCAGGCCAAACTAGACGCGTACGTACGTACGTACGTGTACATACTGATTAAATGCCCGCGATCCTTCCCCAGATAACCCATGCGCACGTTGTCAGGTTTCGGCCTCCACTCCTATACTGTAGCGTTAAGGCGTCGTCGCTCAGGTATATTTTCCCGGGTATCAGACTCTCACATGGCACCCAACGTGAAAAACCGCGCCAAGCCGAAGCGTCCTCCAACTTGTGTAACTTGCTAAATTCTGTCGATATTCTGCTGCAACTGAGCTCTGTTGTCACTTTCTTTGCCAAACTCTTAAAGGTAAGTGCCGTTCAAACGTGTGATTCGTACCTGCCTCTAATGATGTCTCTGATTTGTTTCTAAAATTGGGGGTTATTTCTGAAAGGTTGCGTTTGGATTTTGTAATGATGACGTAAATGGTGGCATGGACATACTATGCCAGCCGAGTACGTTCATGGCGTTTGGCCTAGTGTCATCATCCGAAATTTGTTACACTGTCACCTCTGAATTCTCTCTTCACGTGTCACATTTAGATACAGCAAACATGACGTTACTCAGCTGTGTCGTGTGTGTGTGGATTTATCTTTCTAGTTATTGGCGCAGAGTCTAACGTTGGAGACGTCTAGGTACGGTAGGCAGACGTAGACACAGGCGATATTGACGATCTCGAACGGGACTGATGGCAGCTGTCACAATTCCCCTTGGCACGGATGTTTCACCAAACAAACCCACCGTGGAGCCAGACAGCCCCAATGAAGTAGCTCACCAACTCTCAAACGCAGGTTGGGATCTTGTCCAACTGATTTGGGAAAAAAATTCTGTACTCAACTCATGCGCCACTTTGATGTTCCACTTGGCACTTGTGCGTGCGCATGTTTTGCTTCTCATAATGAGTCATAACGTTAGGCCCCTACTCATGGCAGCCTTCACTTTGTCAATATCATGAGAACTTTGGTGAAATATAGCGCATAAAATATTGCCCAATTCATCCAAACCCATGGCACGCTCAACTTCCTAACACACCTCAATTTGTGCATGTAGGTTGGCCTAAGTGTTTCCTGAATTAACGTTAGTGCATTGAGCATTGGAGCATATGCCTGTAGATGACTTCAGGGGAATTTCTGAAAGATAGGGACATTCCATACACTTGCGCATCTTTCCTGACCAGCAAATATCGGGAATAGCCTAATTGACGTTCCCTGTTGCAATCAGGTTGGCCAGGTTGCAGTCAGGTTGTTTTTTAATTGCCTGTATCGAGGCAAGGACTTTTGGGAAATACTCCAACCAATTTTTGACCGTGGAGATACGTGTGGATTTGATAGAGTCGGGTTTAGCGCAGTGGGTTTTCGTTTTTGACCTTGCTTCTATCTCGGGCCTCGATTCAATTTAAAACCCATCTATGCCAATTGGTGTAAATGAAATTTAGCTTTAAGTGCAGCCCCCCTTACAAATCTGTGCATCTTCCCTGAGAATTGAGATGCATTTATCTTCCAGAGTTTGAATTGCCTCTCACTTCTAAAACTGAGATTGCCTGAATGGCATTGCACTCTTGTTTTCCTCAGGCCTATGACAAACCCACTCCAAACACATTTGGACAAAAATCAGATCCTCCAAATTTGAGTGTTCATCCCCACATGATAGTATTGTAATTTTGCAAATAGAAGTTCCTTCATGGAGTGCAACAATGTGCAGTTTTCAGTGTAAAGAATAACTCGTCCCATTCACTCCAAAAGTGGATTGAAATGCTAATTCTCAATATTGTCTAGATTAAAACATGAAATCCTGTTTTTCTTCCATCGTGTATGTACTAGCAGATAGCGGTAAGCTTGGCTTATCAAACGACGACCCTGAGATGGCGGCCACAGGCAGCGATGGTGCGGGCCCCAGCTCGGCCCCAGACAGCCCCAGCTGCAGGACAGCCGGCAACGTGGACCTCGGCAGCGACCTGGGTTGCACGCCCCTGACAGATGGGGTGATCACGGAGGCCATGCTGAACGTGGAGAGAGAGCTGCACCTGAAGAGCGTGGAAGAAGAGAAGAGACTGGAGCAGGAGGTACATGTATGGGGGGTGGTTGGGGCAGATGGGTCATATTGCCAAGGGTCATGAGGTCAGAGAACAATGTTTGACTTAGGGTCAGAGGCGGTCATGAGGAGTGTTGAGGTCAAAGGTTGCGCATTTGTGACGTGGGTTCATTGCTTTTGTGTTAGCAAGGGTGAGATTTCTCAGCTTTTTAGCTGATTTCATCTTTTTTGTTTTGGATTTCAGCTTTTTTCCTCACTGCTTGTGTAAAAAAGTATAGGATATTTTCACAGTTCAGCTTCTTTATGCCTTTTTTAAGCTGTTTTCAGCTATTTTTATCATTGGTAAATCTCACCCTGGGTTAGTTTGTGGGAGTGTTGTTACAATATTTTTCATTGACAGAAGTGTACTGCCTAATATGAATCAGAAAGCGACTGTTCAGTGTTATTTTTCAAGCCCCCTCACAACGATGTATTTTGTAACTGGTTCATCACACATGGAGAAGGAATTGCTACAAGTCAAGCATTCTAAAGGCCTCCAATGTACATTGATTTCTATCAGGCGTTCCTGTGTCTCAAACAATTGACCGGAATCTGCAGTGTAGGAAATGGAAAGTTCTGGATTCTGTTGGATCCAGTAAAATCCAGCAACTACTGTTCAGATTGTCAAGATCATCTTGAATCTACACCTGTTGTCTGATCTTTCAGGATGCTTCAACCTTCCGGGATCTGTCATAATCAGCCCAAAGGACTATTGGGATTTGGCAGAATTCAGGAAAAAGGCAGAACCTAACCATCATACACTTCAATCAAGACTTTATGCCCTTGAAAAGTATAGGAGAAAGAATACACCATCCAGCATCTTATTGTGGTATTTCTAGAAGTGAAGGTTTCAACAAATGTGCCTTGGGAGCTTGGGCTTATGCTCGAAAAAGGCTGGCCAGTGCTTATAATTAATCAGTTTTCTCTTTCTGTTGTCGATATTCCCGCAGTCCATCTCGGCCTGGCAGAAGGAGCAAGAGGAGCAGCGCTACAAGCGCCTGCAGCACCTGCTGGAGAAGAGCAGCATCTACTCCAAGTTCCTCCTCAACAAGATGGAGGAGCAGCAGCGGCAGGAGAAGCTACGGCAAGAGAAGCGGGCCCGCAAGCTGCGAAAGAAGGAGGAAGAGGAGGAGCGGAGGAAGAAGGAGGCAGAGGGGAAGGCCAAGGGGGCCACAAGGCAGGACGAGGAGAAAGAGAACAAGGACTCCAAGGTCAGTCACCTCTGATTCCCAGACTGTTGCCCCACTGAATACCACACAGCACCCACTTGATTCTAAACTCTTTAGTCCCCCTCTCAGAAAAAAAGACATTTGGACCCTCCCAGAAATTTGAGTCTAGATTTGTCCTTTCAAAGTACATAATTATTTGAGGTTTGTTTCTTCTCTGATTAATTCAACCCAAATTAAGAGTGCTTTTAATTCATTAGACATTCCAAGCTGGTAACTTGTTTGCATTACAGGAGCCTCAGCCAGGTACTCGGAGGAAAAGTCGCTACCGGAAACAGGAGTCTAGTAGCCAAGACGTTGCAGGTATTATAACATGAAATTAATGTGCACGCAACAGGGCAACAAGTTATCACCAGCGTTGGCCATATAACTACCTACATGTATTTAGCTATTGATATGAAATGGAAAAAGTTCAGTCATCTTTAGCAAAAAATGCCGTATCAAAACAGAGCGAGACGTCCCCTCAATTTTGGGGGTGTGGATGTTCGTTTACAGAATTTCTAACATTTGCAAAGGAATTCTTCCAAAGTGCTTGACAGTATTTCAATTTTTGAAATTTGTTTTAAGAATTTCTAAAGCCGCCTCTCTTAGAAGTCCAGTCTTACCCTGCTGATTTTATTAAAATTATATGGCATACTTCTTTGATAATCAAGGACGTACTCATATTCTTAAGTTTTTAAATTACCCTCAAGAACTTCTTCTATCCTAGAGACTTCAGATAGTCAGCACCAGAATAGGAGCCCGCCCTCAGTTGCCCAAAAGTCCTCACCACATAGAAAAGGACCAAGTAAAGATCAGACTAGCTCTGGAAAACCTTCTCCAAGTCACGTTACTAGCTGTGCTGAACAGAAAAGCTCACATCTCTGTGAAAGTCTTATGACCAGCCCAGAGTGTCATGCCGAGACTGGAACAATGGAGACAAGCTCTCCCAGAACTGAACTCTCAGAAGGGAGCCCCTCACTTAGGATAGGCAAAGTTGACCTGAAAAGGCCTAGGACAAGACACTCAAGTAGGATAACCAAACATTTAGAAGGAGAGGGTGCGTTGTCCGAGTCCAAAGATTCCATCTCTCCAGAGTCTAAGACAAGTGAGTGTAGAGAGCGGTATAAGTTACTGGCAATAGTCAAAGAGCAAATAACATTTCAGAAATTTGATAAAGAGAGAAATGTGTCATCTGTAGTTTACTAAATGGCCAAACTACTGTTTTCTGTCTCAAAAATTTTCCCATTGTTTAGCTTGCAAACGGCTGTTGTCCCTACGGCCTCAAGTTGTCGCCCGTAAAGTAACCTAAGCAACAACAGTATGAGGGTTAGTACTTTAATCCTTGAGCTGGTCATAGACGTGCTCTTGTCAGAGTTTGCAAAGTTGGAAAGGAGGACTGTTTGAATTGGTGAGATGTGTAGTTAAGGTTGGAAGGGAGGCCAGTGGAGCAGGGAAACATTAGGGAGAGCCTTGATATGAACAGCTATAAGGACATGAGGTGTCATGATTGAAAGTAGTTTTCCTTGTACAAGGCTAGGGTAGAGAGCAGGACTTCAAAAATAACGAGCCTTGGGAAATTGCAAGCATAGGACAGTTGCATCAAGGAGTTGTCCTCCAGACAATGACGGCCAGGCTAGCATGAAAAGGAGGCTCCAGAGAGGCAAGGGAATCTGACATCATAGGTTAGTTGACTTGGATGCTGCAGAAGAGGAAAGTATGAAGGAAGAAGGCACTGTCAGGAATAGCAGAATTGGTTGGAAGGTGGAGGGTGTTTTAGGTGCCTGGAGAGGCAGTTGTAGCTGAAGGTTCCAGGCTCTATCATAATAGGCTATTCTTCCCAGGAAATGATTCGGTATTGAGATCGTTACTTTGAAATACAAAGGATATGCAGTGGAGGTATCGAAACTGTCAAAAACTTCAAGTGTACCTTGACCTTCCTTGAAAAACTGAGAGCCAGTGCTCCGACAAAGATCTCTCTTTCCGTCGTAGTAGTGGTCTCACAATTTTTGGATGGATTTTTCCGTGCTGTCCACAGGGAGTCCTGGAGGATCATCCCGTGGTAGAGGCCGCAAGAGAATGCGGGAAGACTACAGCATTGCCGACTACATTGATAAATCTGTACGTATCTGTGGACTTTTTTTTTTTCATCATTTTGGAAGATGCAGTTTATGGGGGGGGTTCTCCCATTTTAAAAATGGGAGAACTGAACTCAAACTTTGATTTGCTACTGTTAGTCATTAAAATCATTTGATGAAAGGAAGATTTTCCTGTTATTGAGATTATGGATGTTGAAATTTTGATTCACAAAATGAGCTTTTAGGTCCCAAACTTCCATTTACTCCGTTCTTACTTTACAACCATTACTTCTTAGACGTTTCATTTTACAGTTTTCTAATTGGTTCATTCTATAAATTTGTGGTCCAATTTTTCCCGTCCCTGTTAAGTCTGGCATTTGATTTTTTAATGTTTAGATCTCATTGTTTTATTTCCAAGATCAAATAAGTACTGCAAATTACCCTCCAAACTAATATAGATAGTTTGAAATCAATTTCAGTGACATATTTCCGGTCAAGGTACACATGTCAGGGGTAACAGATGGAAATATGTAACACATTGGACCCCAAATTCATAGAATGACCCGATTCCAATATCTCTAAAACTCCAAAGATCAAAATTTCACTTGACATCCTACTGTCTGATTGGAACTGGAATAATTGAAACCTTGCTCATTACTGCTGCATATGTCTTATAGTCTATCAACATTGGGCTCAGTGCTGCTTACAGCCCATGTTCCAAGTGCTGGAATCCAGTAAAAGAACAGGAATGAAAATGTAACCAGACTATTGTGACGTTTCCCTTCCAGACTCTCACGTCCAAACGGCCGAAACCTGACACCACCGTGGCCGAAGACTCAGGGACACAGGACACGGGTAAACGCCTGCCGGCGGTGAAGAACGAAAATGCTCAGGATAGCCAAACGGAGACAACTCAGGGGAGCTACTCAGCAGGCGAAGAGGCAAAACCAGAGGTAGGTGTGGCTGATTTGTACCCATTACGCAAAAAAGGAAGCACTATTGTGACAAGGCTCTGACATCTCATAAATGTAGGCTAGTGGATAGTGAATTGGCTGGCGAAATACACCTTAAACTAACACTCCTCTTGACTAAAACTATTACAATCTTAAGCCTACTTCCATTTTCTGTTGAATTCCATCATTGGGTTTAGGCAGCCGCCTCGCTAAAAGCTGTTGCCAAGCAGACAGAAGAGTTTGTGGACTCCTTCAGCCGCACCATCAACGGCGAAAAGATCTCGGACCTCCAACCGGACCTCTTCATCGGAGGCTGCCTGCGCAAGTACCAGATTGAAGGCATCGAGTGGCTCAAGGTATTTGAATTTAGACCAATCGATTGTTCTTGTGTTTGAACAAAGTTTGCCAGTTTGAAGGTGCAGGCACTCTGCTCTGAAAGGAGAGGCTGAAAAATACTTGTACAGGGTTTTTAAGTTTTCAGTTAATCTGTTATTGACTGTCGTTCCTTCTATTGAATTGATTTGATGAATTCAAAGATCTTGCCACTATGTTGGACCAGTTTGATCACGTTCATCAGATTAACATTAACCCTTCCGCTCAAGATTTCTGCATAAATGAAGCAGAGGGATTTGATTTTTCTCAATACGGGATCTTAATCTTACATTTTATTCCCAAAATGTTGCCATGTGTTGAGTTTGTAAATGCGTGAATTTGTTCTTCTGTCTTTCCAAGGTTTTGTATGAGAATGGTGTGAATGGCATCCTCGGCGATGAGATGGGCCTGGGGAAGACGGTTCAGTGCATCGGACTGTTTGCTCACATCATCAAGATGGGAGTGCCCGGACCCTTTCTGGTAGTGGCTCCCCTCTCCACCCTCTCCAACTGGATGTCTGAGTTCAAGCGGTTCACACCATCGGTAGGTTCCCAGAGTTGATTAAGCTGTGAGGACATGCTACCTAAAGTGGATACCGACCAGGACAGTGGATAGGTTGTCACACCACCATCGCAAGACTAGACTCGAGTCTGGTCACAATACAAGTCACAAAATTAGTTAAAAGTAACGCGATAAACATTTCGTCGCAGTTCACTCAAATGGCTCGTGACTTGGAACTGAGACCAGAGGTAGTGTGCTGGCTTATTGATGGTCTTTTTGGCTGTTGTGACGGTCTTCAGATGTTTCGCCTACAACTCTGACCACTGTACAAGTTTTAGGTTTTAACAAGATTTCGTACGATTGTCTGGCTTTTCCCAAACATGCAGAAAATGGGGCCATCTTGAACATCTTAAGAACCCCACAGAAATGCCAGATAGACCAACTCCAAGCTTATTTTACGCTCAGTTCAAGCAGCGTTACCAATGAATTTAATTTTTGTTACTTGTCTCTGTTTTACAGATATATACAAAAGTGTTCTACTTTTTACTTTCCCAAACTGTGAAGATTCGTGTTTGATTTTTTTCATACTTCTCATTTTTTTGTGTTTTTTTCTTCCCCTCTATCACAGATCAAGGTCATCCTGTACCACGGCACCCCAGAGGAACGCCAGACACTACGCCGGGAGCTCCGCAAGCCGTCGGGGGAGTACAGGACCCTACCGGTGTTGGTGACCTCCTATGAGATCGTCATGATCGACCGCCGACACCTCTGCAACCACCTCTGGAAGTACATCATCGTGGACGAGGGCCACCGCATCAAGAACCTCAACTGCAGACTCATCAGGTAATGGCTGTGTGTCAGGGACGGTTGAGGGCACCATGTAGTTTTATGAGTATTGAGCACAGGGCAGTCTGGGGCCACTTTGTTATTATGCGCTCATGCAGTACAGTCATGTGCAACTACCCTAGTTGAGCTATTTTGCTGTTGGCGGCAACTGTGGTGGGGGTGTTTTTTAATGGCAATGGCATTATTTCATGTGAATGGTTCCCTTCGTGTTGATAAATAAAATTCACTTCTGACAACAAGACCATGCAGGGTCGACTAGGTGGTTCAAACCATCCATCGTTCAGATGGTATTGGTTGAACCATGGTTACCTCAAATCGTCTCTTGAACTTTCCCAAATTCGAGCAAGGGACCTTTCTTGATACTGGAAGACTGTGCACACTACATTCAAAGCCCTTCAAGATCATGCAGAGCGTGGGCCATTTTCTAGTTGGCTGTGCATGAAATGATGTTAAATGTGTCTGGCAATGTTTAGATGACCACAGGTTGGGGACCACACAATATGCACAGACAGGATAGAGTTTTCTGTTATCTGAAATCCAAAACAAAGGAAATAGAAATGCTCCCTAAAGTGTAAGCATTCGCCCAGGAGGAAGCTTTAAGTCATACAGAAGTCATAAAGCAAGTAGCAGTTGGTAATGTTGGAAACTAATTGAAACAGTCGCTTCTCAAGGTTTTGTTGATTACGAGATAATCGAGATAAATAGTGTAATTCAGTCGGTAGGTTATTTAGGAGCTGTTAAAAATATCTATTTTATACATGCTGTTGGTCAGATGCCTAAGTTACACCCCTGACCTCTCCATTTCTGCCTTTGGACTTGTAGAGAGCTGAAAATGTACCATTCGGCCAACCGTGTCCTCCTGACGGGAACCCCCCTTCAGAACAACCTGGCCGAGCTCTGGTCTATGCTCAACTTCTTGCTCCCAGAGGTCTTTGACGATCTAAAGACGTAAGAAAAAATAACTTTTTAGTAGAAGGACTATTAGAGATCACAGTTGTATATCTGAAATAGCAAAGTTGGCCAGCTTTACATATTGTTTTGAGTTGAGGGAAAGAGTTCTGTATATGGACAACACTTGATGCCTCTGTGCACAAACCTGTGAGATTTGCCTGAAAAAACCTAAATGGAATTTTTTCAGCCAAAATTTCACTTTTCAGGGCATGTGACTACTTTCTAATGGCTGTTAAAACGTTTAAAGGGAAAATTAGTGTTGTCAATATATGGAACTCTTCCTGAGTTGAGTAAGATCTTACCACTACTTTTGAAGTCTTTGTTAATGAAGGAAACCACAAAGTTCTGTTTTTGAGTTTTATTCTGTAATTTTTAACTCACGTTAGATTTGTTATGTACATAATAGTGTCTCTGTTTGTGTGTTTGCAGATTTGAAACATGGTTTGACTTCTCAACTCTGACCAAGCAAGGCGGCGATGAAGCCATTGTAGCCAAGGAAAGGGAACAACACATCGTCTCCATGTTGCATCAGGTACGTCCCCAACTCCCTTTCTCAGTTTATGAACAAGTGTATGATTTTGGTGTATGTCTGCTTTCAAAATTCAGAGATCGTTATGGTTGAAAGAACAGGGATTAATCCTTGCATAGTTGTTTATTTTGGTCTCTCTTCAGTCCCTTTTTACCGAAGTTTCTAAGAGAAGCATTTGAAATTCCTTGCACAATTTTTTTTCAGTGGGTGTTCCTTTTTGGGCCCCTGAGAAGAGAATTTGAAATTTCATTTTAAGTTTTGGCAAGCAGCTTCTCTCCTTGTGTGGTCGCTGTTTGGTTCCCTGAGAGAGGAGACTGCAATTTTGCAAGTGACTTTGTTTCTTGTGCTGTCCCTTTCCCCACTCCCTCCTCCACTCCCCCAGATCCTGAGCCCCTTCCTCCTCCGTCGCCTCAAGTCAGATGTGGAGCTCAAGGTGCCCCCGAAGAAGGAGATCCTGGTCCAGGCTCCACTGACCGCCAAGCAGGCCGAGCTGTACGGGGACCTGGTGGACAAAACCATCCTGGCCAAGATGTGGGAGAAGCACGTCGCCGGGCCCGACCCAACCGGGGAGACCGAGGTGGGGGCGGAGCCGAGTGGGGCCAGGGGGCGGGCCCGCCGGAAGTGCCGGGTGGAGGTGGACTATGCCCTGATGGGAGACCAAGGCGGGGGAGGCAAAGACGATGACGACATCGAGGCATGGGTGGAGAAACTCACCGAGCAAGCCGAACGCTGCCAACAGTAAGACTTGCATCATGCTGTGTCCATTGTTGTGGCAACAGCATTCAGGGCAGATACATCCTTCTTTGGGAAGATTGATAGAACACTTTCTCAGACACTGGAGAATAAAATGAAATTCCACCATCAAATTTGCTTGAGGACATGACTCTGTAGCTTGATGGGCCTGTTTGTTTCGCACAGATTTGGATCTTGATCAGTGATCCCATCACAGGTTAGGTCTATCCTTTTGGTGGCTTTTGGTGTCGGCGAACTAAATATGGGATCACTGATTGGGGTCCAGATCCACATGAAACAAACAGACGCTAAACTTGGCGGATTTCCCGCGCCACATTCATAGCCCATTATGCAAACTAGTCATAAGATCGTGTTTCATTATCAATCTGATCTGATTCAGATCATTGGTCTTCCAAATGTTTTTGCCCAAGAGCTATAGCACTGTGCTGCATTAAAGCCATCGTGCAAAGGCAACCACAGATGTGATTTTGTGACATCACTTCAAATGGTCAGGCTACAAATTTGGAAAAATTGTACACATTTCAATGGAAGTGATTTTCCCAGTAAAGATTTTTGTTGTATTAAATTCACTTCACTTTCGCATTGGCCTGAAGTGCAAACCCGCCATTTCCAACAGTATCCAGGATGGGTCGATAGCACGTCATCACCTTCCATTCCAATTTCCCCCCCCAAGAGCTGCCAAGAAGGAGCCGAAGCAGAAGCCCAAGGACGTGGAGTTGAACATTAAGGTCAAGAGCATCATGAGCCAGCTGCGCAAGGCCTGCAACCACCCCTACCTCCTGGAGTACCCGCTGGACCCCCTCACCCAGGAGTACCGCGTGGACGAGAACCTGGTGGCCAACAGTGGCAAACTGCTGGTGCTGGAGAGACTGCTGCCTGCGCTGAAGAAAAAGAGCCACAAGGTGAGACGAGAAATGGCCAGAAAAGCGGCCACCAGCCTTCACTGGTACAAGCTGGATTCACTTCCATCGGCAGGTGTTTACATCGGTTACCAGACATGTGGAATTTTAACCCTAAGCTCCCACCTCGCTCTTGGGTATTTGACAAAAGAGAACCCACAATACGAGGCGTGGATCTTCAGAAGAGTGGTTGCGAGGGTAGTAACCTCCACTGCCGGTTGTATTTTGTGTTGGGTTGTTACCCTTAGGAAGTTCATCCCAGCTCCCTTGGGTATACACAGCATAAACTCCAAGACTTGGAGAAGTGATGATGAACTTAACCTCCGCTCTGTTTACAAAGGGTGACATGTAGCCACAGCATACAGACTGCATGTCCTGCAGTGTTGTAGGCAAGTCCTTTTATGAGTCTGAAACGTGTGGTTTGGAAAGAACTAACCCTCAGAAAGTAGACATTATGGCTTTGTATCGAGAGTTTTGATTATGGGTTAGAATTGGTCAGAAAGGCACAAATTATTTGCCCCCCCCATAAAAAAGTTTCTTTCCTGTGTTAAATTGAATTTGAAATCTTTTTCTTTTATTTCCCGTAGGTTTTGATTTTTTCTCAAATGACAAAGATGCTGGACGTCTTGGAAGACTACTGCTATCTACGCAAGTACCAATTCTGCCGCCTGGATGGTACGATGAAACTAACAGACAGACAAGAGCAGGTAGGAATGCCAAGATGGGTCAAAAGGCCTCTTAGTGAACTAAGCTTTAATAATGCACTAGTTTCTCCTTAAATTTTGAAAAATCTGAACACAGAAATTAAAGATTTCTTGTACAAATTCAACTTTGGGACAAAAAGTACTCTCCTTGCCGATTACCATTGGCATTACTTTTCGTGCAGAATGTGTGCTTAAAGGCTAGTGTGTACTTGTATCAGTCAAGCCTAAATTACTTGCTACAAGCTTTGTTACATGTGAAGCGTGTTTCACTTTTTATAATATTGTATGTTTGCAATGTTTACTTGCCACGATGTCGCAAAAAAACACATTTGAAACTCCAGAGAACTGTTACGATGCCCGTAGTCTGATGCTGTGTCGCTCAGACGTGAAAGTTAAGCCTATCCAGATCTTGATGCTTACACGTTGATGTCAGTGTGTTGAGGTTGAAACGTGGTAATTGGTGTGCACGTGATCTCAAGCTTGCTCTTTTCTGCTGCGCAGATCGATGAATTCAACAAGAACCCAGACGTCTTCCTGTTCTTGCTCAGCACCAGAGCCGGAGGGCTGGGCATCAACCTGACGGCAGCCGACACGGTCATCATCTACGACAGTGATTGGGTAAGTCCTGAGGGACACAGGCAGATGCGAAGAGGTTTGCTCTCAACACAGTTTTATCACCAGAGGGTGAAAGAGATGGAAGAGATTGCCAGCTCTGTTACCACTGAACATGTGCATGTAAAGGTGCACGAAACTGCTAGCATGCCATTTATTATCGTTAGTGTAGGGTCAAATGTGCACTACCGTTAACCACTTCGTGCTGGGGCATTTTTCAACGTTGA